TTTGATGCAAACTTGATTTCAGGACACAACCGCTCGAATAGTCACCCTTTTCGTGTCGCTGATTTTACACAAAGGAGTAGAAGCATTCTCGGTGGGGCTGCAGATATCAAAAGGAAACAGCAAAAAGGTAGGATTGGTGCCACCTTCAGCTCAGAGCGATGGAATTTCCTAATTTGCAGCTGAGAGCAGTTGTGGCCACGATTCTAATCTACGCTTTAATGACTCCTTTGGGATCCGGGCTGGGCACACTACTCCAGGTATCCTAACTCCTTGATTTAAACATTCGAAAATTTTACATTGCGAAAATTCTGTCATTAGAGAAGGAGGCGGTCCTTTTCACCTTCTATTGGTTTCGCTTTTTAAGTCTGTAGTAGCTTAGTATACTTTTACAATTGCAAGAAAAAATCAAGCCAAAAAAGCGAAAGAAATACAAAAAACAATAAAGCAAAAAATTCCACGAACTCTCAAGTTACATACAATTTTGAAAAGAAGACTATATTTTATGTAGAGATTGAAGATATAAAATGTTCTAACCAAGTTTAAAAATCACATTATCCCCTCTTTATTTTATTAGGATTTTGTCCTAAACATTTATAAAAAGGAAAGATATTCAGTCATATCTTGCGAAAATTGAAACTTTAGCCTTTTTTAAATGTAAAGGACGAACTTGAGTATCACATCAACCACATTCCAAATCCAATATTTTACAATCATGCCTAGTACAACATAACGCAAAAGCGACGTATAGCCGATTTATGAAAAAAGGAGAACTTCTGAATCCTTTACTAGTCATCTATGCTCTGTATTCGAAATTTGCATGACCTACATGTTTGCATAGCGGCCATGTTTCGCTGGTGTGTTAATCTGCTAAATAGCTTATCTTTTTTTATTGGAGAACTTTTCTGTTTTGCTCCAAGTAATTTTTTTGCTTAGATATTTCTTTTAGACAGCAAGCATATTACGCAAAAATATGCCATATTGCTCTTCTATATGTCCACAAAAGTACAGAGAATTTTAATTTCTTTTACTACATTCCCATGACATTTCTAGTAAACAACGCCATGAGAGATTCGACTGAAGTAGCAGTCAAGTGCACGTCTTTTCCTTTGTCTAAAATCGGGCTGCAGGGTCAACAATCTCGTCCTGAATCTATTTCCTTTTCACTCTAGATTTTAGCTTTTTTTTACAAGGGGTCTAATGAAAGCTTCTTATGCCGATAATGGCCAAATACAATAAAACGTAATATAATAAGTAGAAACTAAATACTTCTAGAAAGAATAACTGCTGCCTCCATTGACTCATGATTTACATTTGAGTTTCTAGAATGCACGATTTACCACTTTACTGCATTAGTTGGAAATAGTTTTCTTTTATTATTTTAGTTGTATTTT